ATTTCTTCATCTTCAGCTGCAAAGAAAAAGGGAGGAAGGGTGGCTGGGAGGGAGCGGGAACTAACAGAGAGATTGGGGCAAAACTTGCTTACCTGTCATGGCACCAGAAAGGGTCCTTCATCCAGACAAAGGGCTAGAGGTAGACAGCCGAAGGTGTGAAATCACAGCCTTGGGGCATGGGGGTCGTCCCTCACCTGGGAATGAGAGGTGATTTACGCCTCCTGCCACGCTCTCATGGGGTGGTTGTTAAGGCGTAACTCATGGCTTGTGTGAAAGAACCTGGTGAGGGTTAGGTAGGTGCCTAGTAAGCCTGCATAAATTCCTTCCCACGTGGAGCATATATGAAAAGACACATATGCAAAGACCCACTACCCTATTTAAGGGAGAAACCTTTCTCTCCCCAGAGGTAACATCTATCCCGATTTGTGGTTTCTCATTTCCTTAAGTGTTCTTACAGCCTAAGTCCTGGTTAATTTTCCATCCGCAGCCAGCCCCACCTGTATCCATTCTCTGCGTCTGAGGAGGCTGACCCCAATAAAAGGCATCTCCCAGAGTCCCTTGCTCTCTGGTTTCTCACTGTGCCCAGCCAATAGGAGGGCCGGGCAGGAGTCTGGAGGGAGGAGGAGAGAGAGATTGGGGTATTTCTTCCCCAGTCTATCCCTGCTGCAGTTCTGTGGTTCAGGGGTTCTGCCTGATTGCCCACTCTAAGGCTGCAGCCACCTCTGGGGTCCCGTAGCACTGCCACACAGCTTCAGGAGCTACCACCTTGCTGGGTCCTGGACGCTTAAACTCTTCTTGTTTCCTTAGCTCTTCTAAGGTGATTACATACTCACACACACACAAAAAAAACCCAAGACTTAATAGCTGAAAACATTGACCAGTTCTGTGTTCATAACTCTCTGGGCTGGTCCCTTGGGCTGGGCTCTGCTGGGAGGGTCCTCTGCTTGCAGGGCAATGGCTGCACTCACTCCCGCACTGGGAGGCAGTGGGTCAGCGAGGTGCCAGCTGGTTCTGGAGGGCATCCCTCGTGTATCTGGCGGTTGGCACTGGCTGGCAGTCGGGTCTTTTTCTCCAGGAGGCCTCCCGTGGGCCAGAGAGCCTTCACATGGTGTCAGAAGTGCTCCAGAAGGGCGAAGGAGCAATTGCAAGGCCTCTGGAAATCACCCCAAGTCACATTTACCACCATGTCCCCCTCAGAACAAGTCACAAAACCAGCGCAGATTAAAAGGGATGGAGAAATAGCTTCCACCTCTGGATGGAAGGAGCAATGTGGGAACACATGGTGGAATGGGAGATTTGTAGCTGTGAAATCATTTGCCTCGCCTGCTACCCATGTAAACCGCCCGTCCTTCCTTCGGAGTCCTCCCAAGGGCCTCTGTTTCCCACTGGGACCCTGACTGGCACAATATGTAACAGTACTTATGACATCAGGCTATACCTACCCTTCCTGAGAATGCTTTATTTACGCGAACATGATGTTCCTGAGATTAATCTATATTTACCACAGGTAGCTGCAGTTCATTTATTTTAACTCCTCTGTAATACTCCATATATTTATTTATTCTCCTGCAGATGGACAGTTAGCTTAGCAGTTTTTTGCTATTACAATACTACATTTCTCCTTGGCATATGAGAGTTCTCTGGGGAGGGTAATTAGGAGTAAAGTTGCTGCAGCGTATGCTGCCAAATTACTCTCCAAAGTCAATACAGTATTTAATAGAACAAATAGAATTTGAAGCCTGAATGAAGTTGGAAAACTGGGTCACCTTGCATTATACAATGAGCTGCGTTTTGGAGAACTGAGCAATGTCTGGTTGGAAGGAACTTCTCTCCAATGTAAGAAGCTTTTCAACAGTGTCCCCGGGAGATGGTCAAACAATCCTTGCTTGAACTCTTGAAGATAAACAGGGGAAGCTTGTTCCTTTTGACTGTGATTCCCTCTGCAAAGCATGAGTAATTTTGGAAGAAGAGTCTATTCCTCTTGCAGTGCAGCTGGACCCCAGGCGTGGCCGAGGAGGGAGGCACAGGGGACAATGACGGTGGCAGAGGAGGCTGAGGCAGGCCCGGAGGCACTCACCTGCCCGGCAAAGAGTGTGTGCTTTATCCTGAGGCCAATGGGGAGTCCCTGAAGGAAGCTGGGTCCTGATTTGGTTCTTAAAATGCCATTCTATCTGCGGTGCCCAACATGGAGAGAGAGGGACCATGGAGGGAACAGTCACAGTGCCCCTGAAGAGAGATGGTGACACCATATGAAGACGTATTAAGGGTGGAGAAAGCAAGTTGCTCTAAGCAGCTGAAACTGAAATGTGGCCTAAAATTTCCATATGGTGCTTACCTGCCTTACCAACCTCCTTGAGCATGTTTCCTTATCTATAAAACGAGATAATCATAGTATCTATTTCATAGAGTTGGTATGAATATAAAATGAGATCTTATATTTAGTGTCTGGCTTGCAGTGTTAGCTGTCTTTGACATTGAAGAACTATTGACAAGATGCAGTGATCAGCGTCATTAGGGTAGATTAACGATGGTAACTGAGAGATCCAGAAATACATGATGGTTAAAACACCATGGAATTTTATTTCTTATTTCCACGACAGTTCAAGGTGAGTGACTTAGACTGTCAGGCAGCTCCCCCCACCCGGTGGCTTAGGGCCGCAGGTGGCTCACTTGTCACCTGGACCTTGTTGTTCTCTTTGTCCAGCCTGAGGAAGGAGAAGAGGCACATCCCCTTATTGCGGGCCTTGCACCTGGGTGTGGGCACAGCACTCCTGCTCACGCTCCACTGGTCACACCCGGCTGCACAGGATGCTGGGAAATGCAGTCTTCTCTCTCCAGGGCTCCTCAAGCTCAGCATGGCTGATCCAGCAAGCTGGATAAATCTTTGTTGTGGAGGGCTGTCCTGTGCACAGCTTGGGGTCAGATGGCATCTACCTTCTAGATGCTAGTGACACACACACACACACACACACACACAAAACACTCATATTATGACATCCAAAGCTTCTCCAGACATTTCCATATTGTGGCAGTCAAAATTGTCCCCTGGTTGAGAATTGCTGCTCTACCAAAGAAGGGGAGGTGATTCTGGCCACCACTGTGGGAGAGAGAAAATCAGTCTCTGCTAGAGTGGAAGCTCCCTGAAGGTAGGTGTCTTGTATCTTCTGTTGACTGCAGAACTCTCTCTCTGGCCCCTGGTCCACCCCTAGAGCAGCACCCCACACCTAGAAAGCGCTTGATACAGTTGTCAACCAGCTGCGTGTGCTCTGCACACTGGACCCACGTTCACCTTCCAAGCGCACCTTGAATGCTTTCCAAGCCCCAAGTGCCCTGCTTGGGAAGGATGCCCTCTCCCTGTGTCAGGAAATATCAAGGACAGTATTAATAATAACCATCATCTTAATAAAAGGCCAAGTTTGCTGGAAGAAAGAAATCTCATGGGGTCTCCCCACCCCCAGCCCACCTCTGGAGGTGCTGGGAACCTGGAGCCTGAAGGAGACAGGCTCTGGCTGAGGTCGCTGCTCCTCCACTGCTGATTTCATTCTCCTGAAGGACCTCCTGGTGCCTACGCTTCACAGATCCCCCTGCCATGCCTGATGCCAAGCCATCGCCTTCTCTGGAGGAAGACCTAATGATGCCAGAGGCAGCCACCTGCAATTTCTCATCTGCTAAGTAGACTCCATGGGGTTTTAATTCCCCCCTTCACTCCAGAGGCTCCTGGTCCCTTCTTTTAAGTATCTCCCCTCCTCCTGGCTCGGACATCTCTGTCAACATCATGGGGCAGGAGGTGCAGTGACATTATGGCTGCCACGGATTAATCTAACAGCTATATTGATTTCTCAGTTACCTCTGCTCCAAAAGAGACACAGAGAATCACCCCTGGGGTCTGGAAAGATAAAAGAAAAGCAACAGAAGTGGACCATTTTTTTCCTTTTAGGAAAGAATAACTACAAACAAATAAGCATTCAAGCTCATGCTCTGAAGCATTTATTAGGGGAAACTGTGAAATACAAGTATAGCAGTCTAAGCATGTCATGCACAATGCAGAAAAAGCCAAATGCCAAAATGGGCTGTAAAAGAAACTGCAAATAGATACAAAGCAGGACCGTTAAAGGGGCAGAGAGCATACATGTAATGAAAAATGTGAAATTAAAATCTCTGGGCCACAATTCCCTCACCTATAACATGGAGCTACTAATATCTCCCTTGCAGGATTATTGTGAAGAATATATGAGACAACAGGTGTGAAAATACTGAGCAGAGTCTCTGCCACATATTAAAATCTCAATTAATATTGCTTCACAGGAGGGAAGAAAGGTGTTTGTTTACCCAGAGTATATGTGTGGCGTTAGGCATGACAATTGATAAGAAGTAAAAGTTGAGACTTGGGGGAACAGCCTTCCAAAAATAGCATCAGAACAAAAGAAAAATGCCCATAAAATTATATGCAGTTCCTCCATTACCTAAACAGGCTCAGGCCCGAGTCCCTCTAAGGAGGCCATGTGGGATGGAAGCCAGACTTGGCCCTTCCAAAGGCCAACATCTACACCATCTTCTGCACCAAGACCACCACCAGCACAAGGGTTCTATCCCGGCCCGCCCTGGGGAGGGCACCCTTCCCAGCCTGTCACCCCCAGGAGGCCCATGAGCCAAGCAATTACAGAAGGTGAGATAGAAAGGGGGCAGATTAAGTTCTAGAGCCACCTTGCAAAGCAAGACCAGTCCTCAGCTGCCTAAAGAGTCCAGTTCATGGAAGAGGGGCCTGAGCAGACTATTTTGGCCAAATATGGCCATCCTCACATTAGACTAGTGGAACGGTCCTTTGACTCCAAATCTCATCCTAAAATGTCGGCCAGCAGGGAAGGCCTATTCCTTCCTTACTTCTTTCCCCTCCACCTCTCCATCGCTCTCTCCCTCCCCCTCTCTCTCCCTCTCTCCCTCTCTGTCTCTCTGTCTCTCTGTCTCTCTCTCTCTCTTTCCCTCCCTCTCTCTCTCTCTCTCTCTCTCTCTCTGTCTCTCTCTCTCTGTGTGTGTGTCTCTCTCTGTCTCTTTCTCTCTCCTGACTTGACTTCCAGGCATTGATCTAGGCCTTTGGATTCCAGGGGACCATGAGACAAACTCTGAACTGGGTCAGTAAAGATGAGAGTTGATAAGTCTGATGAATCCAGGGATGACCCAAGCAACACAGATGCACATACGTCCTCCTGTACTTTGCAGAGGAGAACCCCACCAGACATTTTAAGCTTGGCCGCAGGACCAGGGAAAGCCCTCTGGTTCAGAAAGAGGCTAAGTACAGATATACTGATTAAAAATAGTCCTCCACCACCTAGGACTCTTAGGTGATATGAATCCAGAGTTTTATGGAAGAGAGAGTCTTGGGTAAGCACTCATGATATGCTAGGCACTGGAGACAGATTCAGAGATAAGCAGCATTCATGTATTCATTAAACAAATATTTCATAAACTCCTACTATGTGCCAGCCATGATATTAGGAACTGCGTTCAGAGCAGTAAACCCAGTAGGAAAGGGAAAGAGGGAACTTTTTCTGCTCTCAAATTATTCACAGAGATACGGAAAAATAAACAAACCTTCATAACAGGAGCAGTGAATTTAATGTGAAAGGCCAGAAAAAGCTGTATGAGATTAGAGTATAGGATGAGTTCAGCAAAAACTTCATTAAATGAATGAATAGGTGAGGAGCAGGGAACTACAAGCAGAAGGAATATTCAGTAAAAAGCAAAGGGGCATGCAAGACCATCACAGCTTTTAGCCAGGAATTAATTTGCTGCGGCTGGAATGTGCAATGGTTGCAAGGAAGAAATAGTAATTATGACAACAGAAAGCTGGTTAGCATTTCTTGAGCATTTTCCATGTGCTTGGCGTGCTTCAAACAGCTTTAGGTGCATTGTTTCATTGAATATGCACAAGATAATTGGCCCCACTGTACAGATGGGAAAACTGAAGTACAGTGAAGCTGAGAATTTCCCAAAGCGCAGATCCCACAAGTGGCAGAACCAGGATTTAAATCGATGCCAGGGTCACCTTGAAGAGGGCTTTGCATGTCACAGGAAGACTGCTAGACTCAGTCTTACAAGTAAAGAAGGGGCTAGTAAAGGATATCACATGGTCTTGGCTCTTGACTCTCATATTCTGCAGGGAGAGACAGATGTGGACAGAGGCCTTGAGAGTCTACACAGGCCATGACAAGTGCTGGGCCACAGGGATAGACACAGAGGTGTGTGTATGCCTCTGGTCCAAAACAAGGTCAAGTTGAATATTCATTTGACTAATTGATGAAGGCTTCTTCAAGCTGGTACCGTCTGAGCTGAGCCTGGAGGGAAGAGAGGGAATTCAGGCTGACATCACAGCACAGGCGAAGGCACGCAAGCTGGAAACTACAGGTGTGTTTGAGGCGGCAGCATTTGGAGCAGTCTGAAGCCACAGAGTGAGGCGCTGCAGGAACAGCACATTTTCCACTGGGAGCCTGTCTGTGACCAGAGGACAGGGTTTGGCACTGAAGTAGCAGCAGCTGGAGGGGCTCCTCAAACTCTGGAGAGGGTGGCCCTGCATTGCTTAAGATGGTGGAAATGAAACTTGTGCAAGAAACCACTGCATACATGCTGGAAGGTTTCAAAGTGCTTGACAGCTGTTAAGCTGAGCACCTGGGCCCCTAAAAAGGTGAATCTGGCAAGAGAATGGGCTGATGGAGCCTAGAAATGTCTCTTTTCCATCTTTACAGAGAAAAAAAAAGTTCCTTGACACTGGCTAATATGAGACAGCCCACTGAAAGCACTTGAACCAGGGAAAAGGCAAGAGACGAAGTGGGAAAGCACCTGATGAAGTCCTAGCCCGGCTCTGGCCAGGTGTGTACAACTCATACCATCCTCCTCCTGGGGAAGACTACATATCCCAGCCTCCCTTGCAGTTGTTTGGCCAAGTGGCTGAGTTTGGCCAATGAAGTGTGAGCAAAAGACAAGTAAGTCACTTGCAGCCCAGGTGCTTTAAAATACCCCACATGACCCTTTGCCCTCTTGCCCCTTTGATAGTGACTATGGGGCACCACATGCTCCTCCAAATGGTGCATGGATGGAGGAGAGTTATCTAACCTAACACAACTGGGACCTGAGCAAGAAGACATTTGTTAATCTACTAAAATTTTAGTGTCGGTGTTTCCAAAAGTGTGGTCCAGAACAACCGTATCAGCTTCACCTGAGAACTTGTTTGAAATGCAAATTCTCCAGCCCTGCCCTAGACCTATGAATCAGAAACACAGTGCACAGGGCCCAGAAATTGTTTTCTGTGATCTTGATGCAGCGAAAGTTTGACAACACTGGCTTAACTCTAATGTGCTACTGTGTGGCCTTCATTTTTTGAGCCTTCATTTTGTGGAGTGGGAGTCAGAACATCTCCCCTTGTTGGGCACAGGGGAGGGTTAAATGAAACTCTGTGGTGGGATGGTAGAAAGGCCCTATCTCAGTAGTCAACACAATGCTCAGAGTTCTCTCCCTTCCTCTCAGCCAGGAGCCAGATGCCTTGGGAGAGTCAGAGAAATTAAAGGTGGGATTCTTGCCCTCTGGCACCGGGGACGCAGCCTCTAAGATGGCCCCCAGTGATCCTGGCCCCCGGCCCCACCCCCTGTATTCAAGCCCTTGTGTTAATCCCCACCAGCGTGTGTGGGCTGGACCTAGTGAGTCAGTCACATCTAGTGAACAGAATACACTAGAGCCATGCTCCTTTCAAGACTCAAGAGGAGGATTCTCTGCTTCTTGGGGCTTCTGGCGACTCCAGACATTCCTTGGCTTGTGGCTGCATGACTCCGGTCTCTGCTTTCATCTTCCCATGACTTTCTCTTTGCTCCGTCTTTTCTCTCCTGCCTCTTATAAGGACATTTATCGTCAGATTTAGGGCCACCCAGGAAATCCAGAAGGAACTCATCTCAAGACCCTTCACTTAATTACATACACAAAACACCTCTTTCCAAATGGGCTCACATCCATAAGTCCTGGGATGTGGATGTATCTTTTGGTCGGGGGGGCATCATTCAGCCCACTACCCTGCCCAAAGACAGGACAGAACTTGTTCAATATTATGATCCCCTGACCAAGGCCCTAAAGGTAGTCAGGACAGCACACCACACAGAAATCTGCCACAAGTTCGTGGCATCAAAAGGCGTTGGAGCATAGCAGTGACTGGGCCTTAGAATTAGCTACACCGCAACCACTTACAAACGATGTGACGTTAGGCAAATTACTTAACCTCTCTGAACCTCAGCTTTCTCCCATGGGCATTTTAATAGCATCTCTCTCACGGGGTTATAGTGACCATTAAGCTAGTAAATGCAAAGCCCCTTACACCACATCTGGCACCTAACAGGGATGAGAAGTGGGGACACGGCGTCTGGCACCCAGGGAGCACTCAGTTAAGGCTCGCTGTTCTGACTAGCGTGTTGCTGACTGGAGTTGGGGTGGTTCTCACTCTCACAAAGCCTCCCAGCCTTTTGCTCTGACTGCTCTTCCCCTTCTTAGAGTCCCTGGGGGCACCCAGAAGCCCTGCTCTGAGACAGCTGTGGGCAAATATCCCATCCCCGCAGTCTCACCGGTGGGTGCCCTTCCCTTCCCCACCGCCTGACTCCTCTCCTCCAGGACTGGCAGGGAGTTCGCCTGGGCCCCTCATTGTTATTCCTGGCATGGAACAATCCTGCCAGCACCCTCTGAAGCCTGTAAAAATACCCCCAGTTTGTCTTTCATCAGGGAAGCTCAAGCCCGGTGGCATCCTCCTTAGAAGACGATGCTCCCAGCTGGTTCTGGGAGCCACTACTTCCCAGGATGGTCTGGTATGTGTGAGGCTGAGAAAGCGAGTATGAACTGAAATAACCCAGCTGGGCACTGGCCAGAGGACCACACATGTCCAGGCTGCCAAGGAGATACAAGGCTTCATGTGTAGAGAGACACTCTCTGGGATTTTCTTAATGTCAGTGCTTCGAGTCACATGCCAGTGAGTCAGCTTTCCCACTGTACTACTGAGTAGCCCTGTGATTTAGGGCATTTCACTTTACCTCTCTGTGCTTCAGTTTCTGCCTCTCTGAACTGAAGCAGAGATAATAACACCTACTTCCTAGGGTTTCTGGGAGGATTAAAAGGGATAGTGGAGGCACACACTGAAAGAAAATATTTGTAGCACATGTGTCTGACAAAGGGTATTCATCTATGATATATTAAGAACTCTTGCAACTCAGTAAGAAGACAAACTCCCACCTCAAATGTGGAAAAGGCTTAAACAGACACTTCCCAAAAGAAGATACATAGGCAATAAGTACATGAAAAGGTGCTCAGACATTAGTCATCAGGGAAATGCAAATTACAACAGTGAGATGCATTTCACACCCACTAAAGTGGCCAAAATGTAAAAGACTGTCAATATCAAGTGTTGGTGAGGATGTGGAGCATTGATGCTCTCATATACGTAGGGTGCTAGTGAAAAAACAGTACAACTGCTTGGAAAAGCAGTTTGGCAGTTGCTTATAAAAGTTAAAAATACACTTAGCATATGACCCAACAATTCCACCCCTAGGTGTTTCCCCCAAGACATTGTCTGTAACAAGGCTTGTACATGAAAGCTGTAGCCACCTTACTCATAATCACCAAAAACTGAAAACCCAAATGCCCGTCAATAAGGAAGAGATCAACAGAGTGTGTATATCCAGAGAATGGAATATTAAACAACAGTGAAGAGGAACGTCCTACCTGGATAAATGTCAGGAACACAACACAGAGTGAAAAAAGCCAGATGTAGAAAAGCAAAACTTCATTCCTGAGTTCTCGAACAGGGGAACAAATCTGTGGTGACAGAAATCAGCATAGAGGTCACCTTCATGTAAGGAAGGGGGAGGAGGGTGAGTAGAAAGAGGTACAAGGAAATTTCTGGGGTGATTGGAATATCCTATATTCCTATTTAGGGTGATGGATGGGAACATGGGTGTGTATATTTGTCAAAACCCACTGACCTCTCTACTTCCCAGCTTTGCCCTGTGTTGTATGTACATTATATCTCAATGGAAAAGATTGGAAAGGGATCCTATGTGCAGTGGAGGGCTCAGCAAGGGGGCGAAGCTTATAGGCAGAAGTCAGTACATGTCAGTTACTATTAGAAAATAGTACAAACAAGTAAAAAGCATATAAACTTTTCAACTACATGTTGGGAGGTCAGAGTGCTAATCTGAACTCTGACCCAAACCCTGAGATGTGGCAAACTCTCTGAGATGTGGACCCCTCTCTGAGATGTGGCAAAACTAAGCAAAAGGAACAGTCTTTTGTGCCCTGGCCCCCACTCGTCCTGTTCTTTCTTCTGTAAACAGAGAAATAGAAAAGTTGGGTTTAGCTGAGTAAAGATCTGTTCTTAGGAGCCGTAGTGCAGATGGAAGGGTGATTCAGGGGGAGTGGAGAGAACAGGCTTACTAACAGTAAAGGTGCCGCAGCTGGTCTGCAGTCCACGCTGTACATCCAGGGGTTCAGAGGTGCGTGTGGCAGCTGCAGAAATGAGGCTGGCCTGGCTGCTTGGGTGGCAGGATCTTGAAAACAGGACAGTTTCCAAGGAAAGGAAATTGGCTAAGGCTCAACTGTCCCCCAAACACCTATCCAACCCCAGGTCACCTTTCCCCCTTACTTGCCTCTCTTAAAGGACTCCTCTTGCATCCCTCCTTCTGGAATATTCCATCTGCATGAGGTGCTGTGACTTGCACAGAAGCAAGGTGCTCCTAGCAGAGCACCCTGAGGCTTTTCACGGGACGCAGATCTGCGGTGGCCCCGGGACCAACCTGGAGCTGCAGCAGCTCTCTCTGCCCGCAAGGAGCCTCATCTGCTGCAGGTGACACAGACCAGAGGAGTCCACCCTCCCCATGGCTCTGAGGTCCCACCCTGTGTCTCTGTCATCCTCCGCAGCTCCTGCTGTGGCCTGAGTCCTCCCCAAGGTCCCAAGGGCCGCAGCAGAGAGATGCTGGGGCCGACTGAGAGAGCCTCCCTGGCAGCCCCCTTGCCAAGCCCGTGCAGCCCACCTCCAGATCACCATGGCATGGCTCCGGCCTGGCCAGCCACAGAGATGCTCACATTTGTATAAAGTAATTGACCACGGGTCTTTTAAAGAGAACACTCTGAGTTTGAGGATTGTAGCAACAGAAAGGAAACGAAAAAATAAGATTCCTCCATTGTCTACAACCCAACAGGGCTGTTGATTTGGAAATGGCCCAAATTGTGGTTGCGAATCATACAAAGACCTTAGGGGGCTTTGGGGAATCCGTCTTTGTGGGGAGTGACAAAGGTGTCACCTTTCAGGCCTTCATCAAAAGGCTTTGTCTTTACCCATGAACCAAAAGTCAAAACAAACTGCCCTGAATTATTCAAACTGGAATAAGCATTTTGGTTTGTTTTTTTTTAAGACAAAGGGGACGATCCTTTCATTTCCACCCATGGCTTGCTATGTATCCAGGGCTCACTGCATAATAAGCTAGGCCCACCCAGTGCAAAATGAAAATGCAAGACCTCTTGTTCAAAGAGGAAGAAGAAAAACTTCTAACTTTATTCCATGATCTCTGTCTTGATCTGCTGTGGGGTTTTCATTTGCTATTTAATGTCACACTTGGAAATACTGGCAGGTGAGCACAGCCCTTTACAGTGGCCCATGGCCCTGTCCCTCCCCCTGCCTGTGCCCAGGTCCCCACTGGAGCAGAGGGCACATACCCGGTGTGGCCAGGGCAGCAGAAGGGGGAACCAGGACCCCATCCAAGAAGGCAAGAAGGTGATAGGAGGCAGGACTTCACTTACAAAGCACAAATTCAAAGACACAATATTAAGGATTTCAAGATGGCTAAGGCAGACCATTAAACCCAAGCGTGGACTCCCCCCCACCTCTGCCAGTCAGTATATCTATGGCCAGACCCTGCTGGCAGCGTGGGTTCAGGGCCTGGGCCAAGTTACTGATCTTCGCCATTTATAAAATGATAGTGACGGAGCCCCTGGAGCAGGCTGATTTGAGACTGAGATGACCTAATAATAATTGCTAACTCTTACATAGCAGTTGCTATGTGCCCCACACTGTTTTATGTGCTTTCAAATATGAACTCATTCAACCCTTCTAAAAAGTTGATAGGTGGGTTGGTACTGTTCCCATTTTACTAAAGAAGAAACTGAGGCACAGAGAAGTAAAGCAATTGCACAAACCCACACAGCTGTGAGTGAGGACGTGGTATCACCCAGGTCTGAACACATCCTCGGAGTCCTAGAGTCTGCACTTCGGGGCCGGGAGCACACAGTTCAAAGCCCCTAGAAGGTGACCAGTGGTACGGTTTCATTTCATGTAATCCTCACAATGAGCTGATGAGGTGGATTTTTAGACTTATTTGAGATCATTTCAGAAAGGAGAACATGAAAGCTCAGAGAGTATAAGAAAGTTGCCCCAGGGCACCCAGCAGGACTGACTCTGGGAGAGAAGAGGGTGTAGGCCAAGGGGATGAGGAGAGATGGCGAAAGTGGGCCTTTATCAGAAGGGGCTTGTGCGGCTGCCTTGGAAGTTTCTGCATAGGCCACTGGCTCTAGAGGCAATTGAAGACTTGCGTTTGAAAGGTGCGGAAGAGTTGGTTGTAGAAGCCCCAAGATGCTAGCAGCCTAGGTTACCAGGGCAGGACAGCAACGTGGAGATCACTGAATCCAAGTCCTAACTTTATAGCTGGGGAAACTGAGGCTGGAGGAGAGAAGTGGCTAGCCTAACGTCCCAGAGACAGAAAGCACAGGCCCAGGAGTTGATGAGCCCCTGGCCAGAGTGCCTGCCGGGTCTATGGAGCATCCTGAGCACATAGCAAGGGTCCCAGGCCCATAAATCCCACAGTCAAAACCCCTCCTAGATAACCACTGGCACAGCAGCCTTGAGCACAGCCAAATCCTTATACAAAATAAAGACCCTTGCTTCTAAGAAGTCCATTTCTAGTTAGGATTATTTTTTCCTCTTGTAACTTTAAAGAAAAAAAAAAACACTAGCTTTAAAGTCAAACACAGAGGTTTGAAAAGGGTCCTGTCACTTCTCGGCTGTGTGATCTTTGGTAAATTACTTAACCTCTCTGAGTTTCAATTGCCTCATCAGTAAAATGGCTTTGAATCACCTCATAGCCAGCGTAGATTTCTGGAACAGATTAAATAAAAAGGAAGCTGCAGAATATAAAACGGGTTATTGTAAAAGCTGGCACATAGCAGGGGCTCAAAAAAAGGCCATGCTGAACCCAGCAGAGGCCAAACCTACACACAGAGGAACCTCAGGGGACATGTCAGTTTTAGAATCACCTTAAAAGTACCTACCAGACATCTCCATCTGAAACCCAGGGAGGGAAAACAGCAGAATCTGGAGAGGTCTGAAACAGGGCCCCCATTCATCATGACCCAGCAGACAAGACAGGGCCGTTCGTGATGGGAGGCAGCGAGGGGAAGTTGAAAAGGAGGGTAAGTGTGAAAGAACTTACATTTTTGGAGTTTTTTGTCTATTTAAGGTCTTGTTAACCACTCAGTAAAACTCATTTCTGGTTCATGTTCTTAGCAGGAAAACACATTTGGGCTAAACAGTAAGAATGGACCCAAACGTGGAAAGTCCTCACAGGCCCTCACGCCTCTCTTGGGTTAAGTGCAAATGACAGGAGTTGAGCAACTCAATTTGAATAATTGAACTTTGAGGGTTTCAAGGGGAAGCACCCAGGGCAACCTTCTGACTGGGGACCTTATGACACAAGCAGATTTAAATTCAGAATATCTGTAAGTTCGGAAGCTTCTCCCTGGACGGCAAGGCATTCATCCAGCAAACAGTGCCCCCGCCATAGGTGTGGCCACTGTGCTGGACGCAGAGCACACAGGTGGACGACATGGACTTGGCAGGGGGCTTACCTCCTTGCAAGGGAAGCTTGCAAAAGAGACTCACCCACAATCACAAGCAACAGGTAAAAAAATAGTGAAAAGTCTAAACTCAGAGGACCCAGCTGACTGGGAGGCCAGGAAGGCCCTTGGAGGAGCTGGCCTTGCTGGCGACTATGAAGGGTGAATGGGGTACAGTAGATTCCCAGGGGCTACCCTAACTAAGGACCCCAAACCAGGAGGCATAAAACAGCAGAAATTCATTCTCTCGCAGTTCTGGAGGCCAGAAGTCTGAAATCAAGTGTCAACAGGGCCCTGCTTCTTCTGAAACCCATAGGTAAGGTCCTTCCTTGCCCCCTCTAGCCTCCAGGGCTTTGGCATTCCATGGCACTCCACGGCTTGTGGATGGGTCACTCCAGTCTCTGCCTGCATCTTCACATGGCCTTTTCCCTGTGCTGTCTTTTTTATAAGGACACCCACCACTGGATTAGAGGCCACCCTAATCCAGGATGACCTCATCTGAGCTAGAATATATCTGCAAAGATCCTGTTTCCAAATAAGGTCACATTCACAGGCCAGCTCAGTGTAGGACTTCAACATGTCTTTCGGTGGGACCCAATGCTCTGCACTGTAAGGAGCAACCCAGGTGGGGTAAGCAGCAGGCAAAGCCCTGAGCTGGAGCTGCACAGGCAGGAGACGGTTCCTTTGGAACATGAAGAAGTCAGCCTGTCCAGTGCTTGGTAAGGGGCAGGGAAAGTGGTCATGGTGACATGGACCGTGAGCCAGAGCCAGAGCAGAAAGTGGGCCCGGGAGACAGGGTGGAGCTACTGGGAATTCACCAGCTTTCACTCTCTGAGAAAGACACGCCTTTTCCAGCTCAGGCTGGAGAGGGCCTCAAGGAAGCTGACCCACAGGTAGGAGGTCATGGCCACAGGCGTTTTCACAGTCTGATGCACCACACCTGCACTGGCCTGCCACTCTGCAGGACCAGAGGGGAGACAGAAACTTCTGGGCAATGATGGGCTCTCTGTTCTGGAAAACCAGAGGCTAAATGTGTCCCGTTTCCTGCCTATTTGCTGCCTGAAAGCATCCTGACAGGCAACCCGGGAAACCAGGCAGTGATTTCCTGTGCAAAAAAGATGGCATCTTGGCTATACATAGAAAATGCAATTTTGTTTTTGAAAGATATACATGCTACACACACACATACTTTTTCTATATCTTGAGATATACAATATACATATATATATATAATATTTACATGCTTGAAGCTTTCAAGCATATATAAATATATAAAGCACATATATTTTATGACTTTATTTATGTGCCAAAGGCTTATGCTTGAACTAAGGATTTGTTTTCTGTCGAGGTTCTCTTTGGTATAGGTCATTCATTTACTCATTTCACATTTACAGCATGCCTACCATGTCACGGGTGCTCTTTTGGCCAGGCCTATGACATAAATCTCTCCCTCCTGGAATTTACTGTCTAGTGGGATGGGGGAACCAATGATCCACTCAAACAGTCGTGAGGCACATTAAAGGTGCAGAGGACACCAGAGGAAAATAAAGGTAGGAAAGGGAAGAAGGAGCATAGCAGAATAGGGGAAAGTTTGGATGTTAAATGCAGTGGCCAGGGAAGGCCTCACTGAGACGGTAACACCCAGGCAGAGCCCTGGGAGACA